CTGAAGTTTTAAATTGTAATGTGTTCAGTTTACAACTGAGACAGTTGAGGAAGCAGGGAAAATTTAGTTCTCTCAAACTGTTATGGCAAGTATATAGTGTGTTATCAGTGAAGAGCCTTATCTTGATCATTATCTGGTAGTTCTTTTAAATGAATTCTCAATTAAGGTAAATAAGTCACAGGTAGAAAACTACACTTTCCACAAGTTTACTTTGTCTAACTAAAGAGTCTGGGTTACATTTCTGGCCTGCTTTACAGTGTATCATGTTCCACATTTAGAAAGTACATTGTTGGGTTTTGATACTGTAGGGCAGCAAAAACTCCAAAACCTCCTCAGAATTCCTTTCACCATCATTTTTCATAATATAAACCTGTAATATAAGATGTAAGTAAATGTAGACTTCTTTTTGCAGTTTTGAGTTTAGAATTGATAAACCTTGTAGCACATTTCACACTCTTTTAATAGATCTAGATACTAAATGTCTGGTATCTATTGGCCTGGGGGTTTTCTGTGAAGAGGAATGCTGCGCTGCAGCAGTAAAATTAGTAAAATTCTTGTAAAAGAATGAGTGAATAAATCCTGTATTAATCAGATAAAGAGACCAGGACTAACTCAAATGGAAACAGCGCTGAGCCCAGAAAGCATTATGGAACATGGTCTGGAAAGTAACAGCCTCATGTATGACTTTATTGTGGGGCTTAGAAAGCTGGAACAAATACTGAGAAATGTGAAGCTAATTGCATATGGTGGTCTAAATGGCAACATAGAAGCCCTGATATGACCTCTGTTTCTATCTTTTGGGGAATGTGCCACTATGATGTTGCCATGTAGTGGCCCCTTTTGACCAAAGCTCTTGCTTAAAATGAGGGGTCAAGAAACCTTCCTTTGTTCCTCAAGGGAGTACAGAGAGCTGGCAAATAGTTCAGAAAAAAAAAAAAAAAATTGCTATCCTGGGTGCCAGAGAAGAATGTCTTTCATCTCCTCTCCAACCCTCATCATGTGTCAAAACAGTAAGCCCATGGTGATTTCAAGGGAACGGTGTAAGGGCATGTGGTGGCACTTCCCCTGTATAGTCTAGCAACACCAGCAATCGGTAGCTCACACACCTCTTGTTAGACATAGACTCCTTGTTTTGCCAGTTTTTAAGGGAATGTTCTTCCATGAATTTGTCTGTATGTCTCAACTTTGTCAAGATTCTGGCTTATACTGACGACTAATTCTGTAGGTAGTTTACACATAGTATGGAGAAGTTGGTCCTTCTGCTTATGTTTTGAACCTATCTACACCTGTAAGTGTCATCCAGGCTGCCTTGGCTGTTGTTCTACAAGAGGTAATAACTAACTGGAGCAAGCAGGGATGGAAATTAGATTCCACAGTTGCAGAAATGTTTGCAGAAATAAACTCCTTTCTAAAGGAATTATCTTCTGGGTGTAGTAGGTAGCGATCTTACTGACTGCTGGCAGGAAGTTAAGGAGTGCATTTTGTAACTGGTTATACAAAAAATTAAAATGTTCATAGACAAGAAAGAAAAGGGGGGAAAAAATCCCTGAGAAAGGATTTTGAAGGAGCTGCAGATGCATCTTGGAAGAACATTTTTTCTTATAGCTTAAGAGTCAAAAAAATAAATGCAAAAGGCAGAGGTATTAAATCCATGCTTTGTGGTACTCCTTTGAAACCTCCAGTATTTGGAGTGAACGATTTCCTAACACTAACTTAAAGCATGTTAGTGTCTGTGAGTAGTCACTCTCTCCCTCTGCTTACGTTTGTGTGTCCTTGTTTCCCAGGTCAAGATTCATCTATTTCATTAGCATTCCTGAACAGCTAAGAATTAGGAATCTGAGACTGTGTGAATTAGTTCCTGGTTTCAAGTGTGCTGATTGTAATCATAAAGTTGAGCTATGGTTGTGTTCTGTATTCTAATAGTAATCTACATTGTTTGTATTTATGTCTAGAGCTTGAGTAGTTTCCTCTTATGAAATAAATATAATAATAATTTATTTTAAACTTCTGTGAAAAGGGAACTTGACTTAACAAAATAGACTTCATGGTCTTGTGAACAAAATTCCATAATTGAAGCAGGGAAAAGAGTTCACTTTAAAAACCACTCTAGTTTTTCATGTTGCTGTTACCTTCTAAGAAGTACCTGTCCCTTCACACCCCTTAATGGATAATTGTCTCCAAACTGAAATGAGGAAGGAGGATGCAGGAAGAGAGTCCCGTGTTAAAACAGCCCTCTGTTCAAAAACCCTGCAGCAGGCAGAGGTCATGGGATTGGACCTCTTGTTGACCTCCTTAATCCAAGGCTGTAATGTAATCTTTCTGTGCCATCTGGTGTTTTAACAGACTTAGATTGGCGCGTATAAAAATTGCCAGAAACGGCATAGTTGTGACTAGTGTGAATCATTTCAAGAATATGTCTTTTCAATGCATATTTTCTTTTAAACTAAATCTTTCTTTTATGCTATGTCCAAAGAAAGGCTACAGTTAGGTCCTAACTTCTGATGCTTTGCAGAAGTTTAATAGTAGCCATCTGCTGCTGACATAGGTTACACCTTGGGGTATTGTTCTTCTTTATTTCTGCCCTCTGTCACTGATTGCATGCATGGCCTCGGGCAAATGACTTAACATCTGTTTCGTTTTTTTTCTGCATCTATAAGCTAATGATTAAAACATCTGCATAAGTCACTGGACGCACTGAAATAGATCATCAGTACATGAAACCTATCAGGTTTGTGAATAAATGGTAGTAAAATTTGATGATAGGAAGACAGCAAAAGAGCTGTCAGGCAAAAAAAAATCTCCAGGAGTACAAAAATCAGCAGGTATAATCCTGCAAAGAAATGGAGGTTGGTTTTGTTCTTAAGTGATGGGAAGCATTTTGATCACAAGTTTAGCTGATTTTGATTCACAGGCTGTAATTACCTTCTGTGCAAGGCAGACGGAATTCAAAAGAAGAGGAATGAGGTGTGTTAAATGACTTGTCCAGGAGCATGTAGTGAACCTGTGGCATCTTGGGCATAAATCAAGGGGGTTTTGTTGGATTTTACTCTGTTTTGCTCTCTGCCATGCAGTAAATTGGCTATTTGCTTCTTGGCTATTTGGTGTGGTGTTCCACTGTTTCTTTAACAAAATGCACATCGGCTTTATAGGAGTTTTTATGGCAGTTTGCTTGCAACTGACCTATTGATTCTTTAGAAGTTTCTCGAAAGGAAGGACTTCCGAAGAGCTTGAGTATTGTAGTGCGGGCTTGTCATTTTATGGATACAGTCCAAAGTGTTTATTGTTAACTCATGAGAGAAAAGATGCTTATCTTAATTTATTTAAGAGATGCAGCTTTAGCAAAGATCTGTAAAAGATGCTGGACTGTTATGCTTATCCATGGGTGTGAGACAAAGCCTTGATGCGGGTGTTATTAAACACCCAACTACCTGTCCCAGAGGCAGAACTGTACTCAATATTGAGCAATATATATATATATGGTTCTTGCAGCTAGCCTGTGTGCCTGAGAACTCCGAGATCTGTGGGAGTCACTTTTCTCTCATTAAGCCTCTCTCCAACTTTGACAGATATTAGTATCTTTTTATATAAAAAATTGACAAAATCTGCTTCCTCTTCCTGAGACCTGAAGTAGGCTAGATCATGTCCGGAGAGTGAGAAGGGTATTCATTAACGGATACATAGAAGTCTGCAGTTTGGCAACAGTAAGTTGTGCAGTCAGTCCCTTTGGGAAACTGCAGAGTCTGCAATGCAGATCTGCGGCACTCTTCTGCTCCCGTGCTGCTTTCTTGCTTCTGCGGCAATCTCTTCTAAAATGTTCACCACTCCAATTATGACTGTGACAGACTTGGTCTGAAGAGACATGCGTTTCTTTCCCACCGGTTTGGAGAGGCAGAAGAATACACCATGCTGGGGTGTAGCATTGCTCTGTACTGCTCATTCTCCTGATTCCCCTTTCTCTCACTTGTCTAACAGTACGTGTGTATTTGGGAAGGGAAGCTACTGCTGTCTTAACTTCTGTCTCCTCTGGGGACTGACAGGGTGGTGGGGTTATTTCATACCATGTTAAGGTAAGAAAGTCTGATTTGCTGTCAGAGGAGCCCTGAAAGACCAGATGAACTTCTTACAAATAAGTGTGTTGTGACATTGCCTACTCTCCTTCCTGGTGGTTCCATTTCCAACTCTCTTTTTTTTTTTTCATTCTCTATGTGAGTCACTATCTGGGATATGTTCTGGTCCCACCCTTGCATAACAAGCTAGATGACTTACAATGCCAGGAACTAAACTTGTTGCTATGCTTTGGGATCTGGAAGGGAGTCCCCACCAGTACCATACCCCCATATCATAGTATTAGCAAATTGCTACACAGAGCTTCTGGGCTTTACCTGGTACAACAATATCCTGATTTTAGCAGGAAGACATGTTTATGTTGCATCTTGGGCAAGATTCACTGTGATGGGTGGATTAGAAGAATTTTGGGTGTGTAGCACTTCCCTGTTGGATAGATGGGTTATATCTCTGCAGATTGTGTGGCTTCCGTGGTCTCAGTTCTTCTATTCCCTGAATGGCAGAGAGCCACTGAGGGAATGCTGCTTTCCAGAGGGGTGTTACTGAGCAGGCCAGAAGAAGCTGAGGGGAATATTGCTCTAAGGGATGCGAAATCTGTACTGCATGTAGCTTGTAAGAGTGATCTGGTATCTTCCTACTCATACGCCTGTGGTACTGGAAGAATTTTATATAAGGTTTCAACCTTTGCAACTGCATTTTATCATAATGTTTCTGCCTCATTGTTCTCACCACATCAAAGTGTTGCCTCATTAGTACAGGAAGCCCTGTGGTAGTCTTCTCCCGCAAAGCTTTGGATAGAAAATAAGGACACAAACTCCCTATGTTTAACTGGTAAACTGTTCAGAGATGGCAAAGCTTTTAATTATGTTAGCTCTTTTTTACCATTGTGATTTGTGAGCAGTAGACTCAGAATAATACTTCCATCTCCAGGACAGATGAATGGAGTATTGTTTTTGTTGTTATTCTCATACCGTCAGACGTTTGATGACTCCACCTCAAGATTTACCAGGATTTGGGAAAGAGTTACCCTTTTCTTGCAGCAGATAGGTGGAGAAAACTTTATTCCATTCAGCTTGGAATCACTAAAATTTCTGTGTTGTCTTTTTTTGTTGCAGATAGCTGCTGCTTTATGGTGGTATTATGTCTCTAAAGGAATTGAATATTTGGATACAGTATTCTTCATCCTGAGGAAGAAATTTAACCAAATTAGTTTCCTTCATGTCTATCACCATTTCACCATGTTCACCTTGTGGTGGATTGGTATTAAGTGGGTTGCAGGAGGACAAGGTGAGTTCCCTTCCTCCCATACCCTTTTGACTGGACACAAGGGAGAACTGTTATTGTTTGGGAGCAATGGAAAAAAGTTTTTGTAGACTTAACATTATAATATACAAGACTTTAAATAGTGCTGAAGCAGTGCAGTAGCTTTAATGCATACAGTCTTCCTCTGTGGGAAACATGGGGGAGGAAAAGATAACAGAGCAATAATCTAATGAATTGCAAAACTTTTTTTTTTCCTCATAGATATCAATTGCAAGCCTAAAGTTCTGTCTTCAAAATTATCCTTGTTCCATATGAAATAGAAAGATAAATGTGTCTTGCCTAACTTTAATTTTTGCAGATACAGAGAACTGCAAAATCTAATTATAGGCCACAGTTTGTGTGCAAATGTAATGAAGTTAGTGGAGACATTATTTTGGCATTGTATCTGAGTTTGAGGTTTGCTTTCTTTTTTATAAAGAGGCATGTATAAAATTCTGAAGCTTTCCCTTGAAGGTGAGCCAATTAATCTGTCAATTAACTTTTAAAACCAATTAATCTGTCAATTAACTTTTAAAACCTATTCATAATGACACAAGTCTATAATTCATGATCAGCCTTTTTTTTTTTTGCTTGCTTGCTTGCTTTCTAAAGCCCCCATCAAAGAACTTTATTCTGTTTTTTACTTGCTGCCTTCTCCCTTGCCTGCATTGGACCCTTGTTCCTGTTGTTTTCCCTTGTCTCTCTCAAATTATAAGCTCTACAGAGCTGAGGATTCAGGGAAAATACCCTGTTTTGTTTGTAATGAGCTTTGTAGGCTTAAGACACTGAAAATAACATATAGCAAACACCACAACAAACTAAGAATTTTGGAATTTTTTTTTGTCAAACCACGTTAATACGTAATGCATGGGGGGTTTATGCCCTCATTTACTATAGATATCTTGTACTGAGTGGTTGCTTATATTCAAAAGAAGAAATACTTAAAATGAGTATCTGTGACTATCCTTGAGTTTCTCCCAAGTAGTCTGCAGGATGCAGGTACTCAACCAGATGTTTCATGACCTTTATTGGCTGCCGCACCCATAAACTAAGTTTGTTGGAGACTAGATGCTTACGTGTAGTCTTACTTAGAAATTCCCTGGATATCTCAAAATGCCCTCTCCCTTGTTGCCTCTTCAGACTTTTCATGCTGAATACCTGCAATTTTCAATACAACAGTCGCAACTATTTCCAAATTTATTTCAAGTTTTGGTATTCTTGTGCTGCCTCTTTGTTTCTATCCCCTGCAAAAGGGAAAACAACAGTTGGTCTTCTGCATTTGTGTAGCACTACTGTATAAATGTGGATAGATCTATGGTCTTCTGCTTTCTAGTTGATAGCCCATCACTTACACAGACAGATCTATTATAAGCTAGACCCTATTATAACTAACTGGGTCTAGACCACATGGGCATCTGAGCTGTTTGATGTCAGCAGCTATTGTCTGTATTGCCCTGATCTTATACATTAGAGCCTTTTTGAGCCTCTCTGGCAGTGTAAGAATACCTTAACAAGATATAATTTGTTTCTGTTAAATGGCTGCTAATCTTGACAGAGCAAGAAGATCATAATGCAGATGACAACTGTTGTCTTTGTTTCCAGCACAGCACTATACATTTACATATTTAAGAATGCTGGATATCTTAACTCATAAATAATGAAACTGAAGATGAGCAATTTAGACAAACTCACTTGGCAATGCCCTTAAACGTCTTACAACCACAAGTGAAGTTTTGCTTTGTGTGATTTTTTTAGCCTCTTTAGTCAGACTTCTGCCTGAGTTTCTTGATTTCTTGCCGAGAAGTGAACCTTCTGTATTTAAATATAGTTTAAAAGATTTAAGTTCAGAACTTGATAATTCCTAAGTTACATTGTCAAATACCGCTTTTAATAATCCTTTAGCAAAACAATTGTACTTACACTACAGTAACTGATGTGGAGTCTGTGCGATTTATGTCTGTTCAAGAAAAATCTTACGAAAAGCTTTTGCATAAATAGTTCCATGAAAGATGTGACATACTACTTGCATGAAAAGCTCTTTGTGTCAGCACATGTTGGCAGTCAGGTCTATACTATACTATTGGATACTTCAAAGATGGAAGCCTGGTGTGTCCTGTACTTTATAAATTCTACTGTCACTTGAAAAATACTATAAAAGACTTCTTCCTTTTTTCAAAATTACATTACAATCTTCCCTTCTGTTCCTGGACAGCTTTTTTTGGAGCTCAGATGAATGCATTTATTCATGTCATTATGTACATGTATTATGGATTAGCTGCCTGTGGACCTAAATTTCAGAAGTACCTGTGGTGGAAGCGATACTTGACCATATTGCAATTGGTAAGTAAAATTTCTCCCTTTCTTTCAGAAGGTATTGCCTCTGCGTGGATTTGCATTTGCAGAGCTTTGGAACAAATGCTGCTCATTCCAGAAGTTTTTCCCTGTCTGATACTCGCAGCTCAAGTTAGAATACTTCCTGGAGATGGAAGTACTTATTTCATTTCTGAAAAAATATGCAGCGTAGATAAGAGTTGTGTGAGTGAAGTCTAAATACTACTTTACTGGTTGTTTCAACTGAGTTGTAAAAACCTGTTCAAAAGGGTTTTTTTCAAAATCCAGATCTCTTAATGTCTTCTCATTTGCCAATTTCTGAAAACCAGTGCCATAAATTTGATGTTCCTGGTTAAGCATATGTGCGCATGCGTGATGTGACAGCCAAATACAGCTTCCCTACCGTCTCCCACTTTAGCAGTTTTCGTAACTTAATGCATTGGTATACATTGATGCAGTCAGACCTACAGAATATATCCAGACCTTTTTGATTCTATGTTTTCTGTCTTTCAGGTGCAGTTCCATGTGACTATTGGCCACACAGCCTTGTCTATTTATATTGATTGTCCTTTCCCTAAATGGATGCACTGGGGTGTAATTTTCTATGCTGTCACCTTCATTTTCCTGTTTGGTAATTTCTACTATCGGACATATAAGCTGCCCAAGGAACCTGTAAAGAATGGCAAAATAGCAAATGGTGCTGTTGCAAATGGAGTAAACAAACCAGAAAATAATGCAGTGGTGGAAAATGGAAAAAAGCAGAAAAAGGGAAAAGCAAAAGGAGAGTAACTTGATCCAGGCCTTAACCATTGTTGGCAGTGAGGAACCTCCGGTTTGGTTTATAAAAGGAAGAAAAAACCACTATCTGTACCAATTAACCTTAGGTTACTGAAGAGCTAGAACACAGATATTTTCATTATTTATGAAGATTGTTTTAAGAACAACACTAAAGTTGAATTTCTATTGTAATTATGTAATTATCATGCATATGGTCTCTGTGTAAACTTGTAGACTGCTGGTGTTGGTGAATGTAAGGAAGAATTGCAGTTGATTCCATGTTTAGCAGTCCAAAGTTAATACTACCATTGATACAGGCAGTTTTGTTGGCACCCACATTTCTTTGGGGGGTGGGGGGGGAGGGAAGGAAAGGAAGTAGCATTTGGATACTTGTGTTTTCTTTCCAGAAAATTATTAAATTTCAAATTATGACATATTATCTAATCAGAATGTGCAACTTTTCTTGTCCTCCTTGAAGAGTATCTTCAGACGCATTATGTTTATGTGCTGTCAGAACAGTGTTTGACTTTTCAGACATTACTTGATTTAACTCAGTGTCTGTTACAGTTTTTGGTTTGGTTTTTTGGTTTGGTTTTTTTTTTTTTCCTCGTGTGGAAATATACCTACCTCTTCATCTGCTGGAAAGAATATTGAGCATTAAATAACTGGTTTCTGAAATACGGAGTCCTCTAATGTAAATATCTGTTAGCACTAATTCAGGAGAAAATATGATTTCTTGTGGGAGTAAAAGATATTTTGCAGGATATTTTTTGGTCAAATCATCAATAACATTTTTCAATGTAAACTTATATTTTGGAGTGGTACTTTTAATATGGCTAATTGAAGAAAACATTTTAAGAATGTATAAATGTGAAACAATATATTGTTTGAAGCAAGCAGTAAAAGTCGGCCTGCTGCTTGATGTCCGTGACCTGCATTAAACCTGTGGTGCTGACTGATACTGAAAATGGTAAGATAATATTATGGTGGAGAGAAAATGACAATGTGTAATTCCATTTAGAAATGCTGTGTGTATGGATAGTCATGCTAACTACAAGACAGTCACTTTATTGGGAGAGAGAATTCTGTTAAAAAGTACTAAATACAGCAAACAAAATGTTGAAAATGCTGCTACTGCTTGATACCCATCAATACTCTATTTGTTTAAACACTTGCAGATGAAGAATTGCTAGTAGTCAGGCCACTGTTCTAATGTGAATGTCAGAGATGGGCTTCTGAAACTCTATTCCCTGAGTATTTTCGACTCTTTTCGACCTAATTGACAAGTTGATTCTCTTAATTATTTTTCAGTTGTGGTGGGTTGACCCTGGCTGGATGCCAAGTGCCCACCAAAGCTGCTCCATCACTCCCCTCCTCAGCTGGTCAGGGGAGAGAAAATATAACAGAAGGCTGGTGGGTCGAGATAAGGACAGGGAGAGATCACTCACCAATTATCGCCGTGGGCAAAACAAACTTCACTTGGGGAAATTAGTTTAATTTATTACCAATCAAATCAGAGTAGGATAATGAGAAATAAAACCAAATCCTAAAACACCTTCGCCCTACGCCTCCCTTCTTCCCAGGCTCAACTTAACTCCCAATTTCTCTTCCTCCTACCCCACAGCAGCACAGGAGCATGGGGAATGGAGGTTGCGGTCAGTTCATCACATGTTGTCTCTGCCACTCCTTCCTCCTCATGTCCTTCCCCTGCTCCAGTGAGGGTTCCTTCCCACAGGAGACAGTTCTCCACGACCTTCTCTAAAGTGAGTCCTTCCCACAGGCTGCAGTTCTTTACGAGCTCCTCTAACGTGGGTCCTTTCCATGGGGTGCAGCCCTTCATGAACAGACTGCTCCAGCGTGGGTCCTCCATGAGGTCACAAATCCTGCCAGCAAACCTGCTCCAGCATGGGCTCCTCTCTCCACAGGTCCATAGGTCCTTCCAGGAGTCTGCTCCAGTGTAGGCTCTCCATGGGGTCACAGCCTCCTTCTGGCACATCCACCTGCTCTGGCATGGGGTCCTCCACAGTCTGCAGGTGGATCTCTGCTCCACTATTAACCTCCATGGGCTGCAGTGGGACAGCCTGCCTCACCATAGTCTTCACCAGGGGCTGCAGGGGAATCTCTGCTGTGGTGCCTGGAGCACCTCCTCCCCCTCCTTCTTCCCTGACCTTGGTGTCTGCAGAGTTGTTTCTCTCACATATTCTCACTCCTCCCTCCGGCTGCAGTTGCGCAGGCTGTTTTTTTATCTCGTTCTTAATATGTTATCCCAGAGGTGCCACCACTGTCACTTGATAGGCTCAGCCATGGCCAGTGGAGGGTCTAACTTGGAACAGGCTGGCATTGTCTCCATCAGACATTGGGGAAGATTCTAGCAGCTTCTCACAGAAGCCATCCCTATAGCCCCCATGCTATCAAAACCTTGCCAGCAAACCCAATACATGTGTCAAAACTGCTAAAATAAGTAGAAGCCTTTTAGACAACTTTCCATCTTAATTGATGCATTAATGGACTTCTTACTGCTCCTTTTGTGAAGAAAATATGGGAAAAGTTATTCTCCTTCCAAATAATGTGCTTACTAAGATGTTTTGAGCTCCTCAGCACACAATGGGTATAAGACAAGGTGGAATTAGAAACTGTATCCTGAGCTCCCATGTTCCTTGCTCATCACTGCAAGAGCTGCCCTGTTGCTGTCTAAATGCATTCCTCCCAGCTCTGGTCAGAAACGTATTCGTAGTTAGGGACAAACTTACATCTGGGAAGTAAAGTATGTGAGATGTTTAATAGTTTTTATATCTAAATTATCCGTTTGTCTGTTTATAATATGCAAACGGATCATATCTGTGTCTCAGGTTTGTCTCATCGATATACTAGAAACCGTCTAAACCCAAAACACGGGTCCTAGGAAGAAAAGGGTTGGCTATAGTCTGTTGTATTCAGAAATAATTCCTGATGCTGAAATTGATTCAACTGGAAGGTAATTCATAATAATTCATCCATAATCTCCACCACAGTGGATTTTATGGCAGAATGTAGGATTGTGAAAGAACATCTCTGCTGAACTATAATGTGTGTGACCATTAAGTTTCCGATCTGCTGTTTCTTGTGATTCTTCCACCCTTTGTACTGCTGCTTTTTGCATTTGCATAACTCTGTATTTACGTAGGGTGGCATGGGGAAGAAGGATAGTGGTCTACCCTTCCTTCTTGGACAAAGGCCACTTTACTTAACCAAGCCAAAATTCTGGCTGACTGGGTAACTATGGAATGGCTAAAAGAGCAAATAACGACAAAGCAAGCTGGCAGATTTACAGCACACCTACTACTCCAAGGCAATGGCTGGTGTGAGTACACCTACCCTACTGTAAATTCAAGGTAGTTTACCCCATTTTGATTAAACGGTAGCTTCTTTCTGTTTGCCATGGGATGTGGGCAGGTAGTGTGTAAATCTGTATCATTCCTTGTGTTGCATTAAATTGTTTTGCTCTGTCTTTCTTTCTGTAAGCCAGATCAGATAAACTGATACTCTTAACGTGACCTAGCTCTGAAAGACCATACTGAGAAGTATTCCAGTACGGGTTCAATTATGTCTTTGCTATACTTTTTAAAGTAAGAATTATGTCTTGCATGTTGACAAATATTTAAGTAACTGAAAGTCAAATCTTCTCTCCCCTGATCATGCATGGAAGCTGCTTAAAGTTGATAACAACTTGAGCCTTACTGACAGAACTTGAGTAAAATCCTACCCTCAAACTCTGGGACACTTAGTAACTTTTAAGAAAAAATGCAACAATGCATTGTGAGAATGCGTGGTGCATTCATATACATCGTGTTGTCTGGCTCTGTGGGTAAAAACAGTTTGAGACCGACGTTTCATGGGAAAAAATATCAGTTATTAAATTGATGGGACACTGCTGTTTTGAGTCCAAATAGACCCAGGCTTTCCTGTGTCTATTTATGATCTATTTGGTTGTTCATTTGACTTGAGTCCCGTTATGATCTTTGAATATAATGGCCTTATTAAATGTGCATTTTTGTAGGCATGGTCTTGAGTGCAATATTTCTGTTTCTGACTGTGCAGCCAGACTCACAGAATACAGGCCTGAACTTGTACAGCTTTTTCTTTTTCAAAATTTGAGACAATGATGCACATGTGGGATACTGCCAGATTGATTAACTCATCATTGAATCCAAGGCACCTCAGAATTTTGCCATATAAGTAGTAGAATATATGTATAAATGTGTGTGTTTGCTATACACAGACCAGAAATTTAAATTATAAAATCTACTTTGCATGGTATTTTTTTTTCCTAAATGCTTCCAATTTATTTAAAAGTGAAATTCAAACCATTTGGAACTTTTCTTTTTTGCCAATGAAAGACACTTTTTTGCTAACAGTTCTGAAGCTCTTGGACCAGAGTCTCATAACTATTTGATGCCATATTAAGTGATACCATTTCATTTAGCCTCATCTCTAGCAGTGATATTTGTTGGATTATTTTAGCACTTTTGTCAGTGTAAAATAAATGCAAATTATCTGCCTATGTGTATGTATATATATGTGTACACATACATAGTGTATGTATGTGTGTATATATATATGGATTCTTAGCAGGTTCTTTCAGTATGTGAAGTAAATTGTATTTCCTTAATGTGAAGTTGGCAGGAACTAATGGAACAGTTCCTACAGCTCAAGCAGTAAAACAAAGCAGATTTCATTGATCCATAGATCCAATCTTAGTCTTGCAGACAAAACAGTATTTGTCCATGATTTTAGATATAGCATGGCAGACAAGCCAGAGCCATTTCTCCCAGTGTAATAAATATTTTGAGGCATCAGTTGTAAATTCTGAGGGGAGAGACATCAACTCAGAGGAGCTGAGGAATTATGCTGGTTTATAGTAGGGATTGTTTTAAGAAACAGTATGAGTAGTTGGCTCCAGGTAAGTCTTTGAAGTCATTGCAATCAAATTCTCTGTTTAACAGAACACTTTTAAAATAAATAAACATTTCTCTGTAGGTTCAAAAGCATGACCTATTTGATTATATGACTGTTAACTACTTCCAGCTCCAGATCAGGAGAAAAAGATGAAGGCAAAATAAAAATAATGCACGTTTTTTTTCAGGTTAACCTTAGGGCACGTTTCTTCAGAGTAAGCACTTGACCTCCATGCGCTGGGGAGGCAGGTAAGAAAGGAGTCAACAGCTATTGTGCTTAAAGGTCTTGCTCCTAAAATAGCTTATAAGAACACTTGCTATCTCTTAAAAACTTGAGTAAAATTGTTCGTGGTGCATAAAGTTAAACTTTGCATGAAGTTAGTGTGAGATGAGAGCCATAATGTTTAAACAGATATTTAAAATTAGATCTGTTTCAGTTAAAATTGAAGAGAATGGAGCGCTTCTTAAGTATCTGGATAGTGTATTCATCTTGGTTAGAAGCACAGACTAAGCCAATTTGGCACCTAGAGCAAGTAACCCAAATGCCATCTCATTGCGTTGTGGTCTGATGAGTTGGCCTCTTTGCTAACGTAAGCGCAGTCGGAGCTCCAAGGAAGTCGGTGGAGTGGTTCCCGTTTACCTCAGCAGAGTATGTTTAACCCTAAAGAACAGAGAAAATACTTGCTTTCTGCCAATATCCCAGGAGGATGAGGGAAATGTATGGTTCAGGATGCTGCTTTTGTG